ATGTTCCAGCGTCTGCACTCTCAAAGTCCTTGATCAGGAGCCTGGAGGCTGTTGGTGATACTATCTCTGTGTAGATCGTACTATCCTCACCTAATTAGAAGCAAAATGAAAATAAAAATTGACACATAATACTGAATTATATTTGATCTATTAATATTATCATAAATGATCAAGTTAGTGAAGTAGCTATACCAAATAAGTGCTACTCTCTTTAAATAAGAACCTCACGAAAAAGTTCTCAATTCCAGAGGTAAGTTTCAAAGGATACTTTTAAAAGTGGTTTACTAAGTAAGTATTCATGAAATAGACCAATATTTTTGCTAAGCATCCATTTTGATTAAGCTTTGTGCCACTTATTTTAGATAGATTATATTTTAGTCTAGTAGTCATACAGCATTACTCAACCTATCTGGATTATTTGTATAATTGGGACATTATTCAACAACCAGGATTAAATAATACTAACATTGCAACAAGTCAAATAGGCCTATGAACAACATATTCAATTTGTAATGTACCTCTCTAGAACAAGTGTATCTTTTATATAAACACCTCAATTAAAGAAGTACCTAAAAAATTGATCTATTATTATTATTATTACAAGCACCTCTGTATTACTAATTGGCCTTTTAGATTTATCTATTACACTGAGCATAAATGAGTCAACAGTAATCATTACCTTCAGCTGGTCCAATGACTTGTCCATCCTCCCCTAGCCATGTGATGCCGTTGCCTGGAGAGTTGCCTTGGATTTCACACAAATATGACAGATCTTTACCCTCAATTGGTGTTTGCTTAAATTCCTCACCAACACGAACAGTGTAATCTGTAATTTTAAGTTTAAAAAGTTGTAAAGGTAGATGTGGTTTCAATTAATAGTATACTATATTGTTACTATTATAATTGTTTACTCGTTACTGTATCACTGTTGACAAAGTCACAGTTTTTGAAAAAAAAATATATTGTAAAACATTGATGACGATGAAAACGTTAAATCTTACCAGGTATATGACAATATTCTCCAATAAATCCTTTGATACACTTGCATTTTCCGGCGACACACTCTCCACCGTTCAAGCAGAGGTCAACACACACCTTTTTCACGATACTAATATTCATTTCTGTCTCATAGGGACCAGATGAGCATCTGTAATCACCAGAATCTCCAAACTCAGCATCTCGGATCGTTAACAAAGATGAGAAGTCAGATATTGGCTCAACTTTGATGCGATTGGCTGAAACAATAATTTTTTTTGTCAATTCTCATACTCATCTGGTCAAGCTTGATTGAACATGGTTTTACAGTATGCAGCAATGTCTATCAATACAAATTGATGTTTTTTATATTTTTAATTATTATTATTAGTAGTAGTAGTAGTAGTATTAGTAGGAGCAGTATTGCCAATAGCATTATGTATAGTGGCCTTCATTAAGACACCTTAGATAGACATTGAAAAACACACTACACTCAGGCTATGTTCAGACTTAAAAAATAAGCCAGGCTTACGTTAAGCCTAGCTCAATGTTTAGCGCGGCTTAACTTTGCCAGGCATTCAGACTAGCGGGATTAGCAAGACGTGAAAATTTGCATATTAATAAACCATAACTAGGACACGATTTTCGAAACATTGCGCATGAAATGTACGCTCGCTCACAGCACATGTAATTGAATACTGAATTTTTTTTACCCAAGGCCAACGCAAGACCCCCAGCAGCAATTAAAGCCTGATCTTAGAAAAGTTAAATATGGTGGCATGCCAGGCCAAGTTACTATGTGAACACAGCCTGGCTTGAGATAAGCTACCCAGACAGGCAGGTGGATAAACACGGTAAGTTGCGCAGGGTTTATCCACCTAGTCTTAACATAGCCTAAATTTTGTTTTCTTGGACAGAGCATTACATAAACGTAATGCCTTAACATATTATCTAAAAAGCGATTCAGTTACCTCAGGCCAGAAGCGATGGACTGATGTTTGCAGGTTTAGAACCAAAAGGACATGAAACATTAATTTCAATCGTTTCTATAACACATTAAAATACAACAAAGAAATATATTTGTTTATACCTTCAGTTCTGTCAATTATTTGACCTTGTGGGTTGTACCATACAGGGTTCGGGTAGTTGCTCTCTGGGTTGACGTTACAAATCAATAGGGTGTCTTCCCCTTCTGTTGGAGCCTCTCCTAAAGGATCGGTTATGGTGATATCCCAGTCCACTGGAATTAAAATCAATATAGTAATCAGAATGTAACAAAATAACTATTAAATGTATTAATAATAATAATATCAAACTGCAAAAAAATGTTTTATCAAAACTTGAAAGTATTAGATAGTAATTTCCAAGCTATTACTAATAATAATACTAAGTAAAATTATTTAGAATTCTAGGGACTCTGATTAGAATAAGAAATGAGTAAAAGCCCAAACTATTTGTTTACATTCATTGTTAGAATGTCCTTATGCAAAATACTAATAAAACAGATTGGTACTTACAAATGGTTTCACATGTTTTGCCACCAAACAGCCCCTCACACTGGCAAAAGCCGTTGTTGCACACTCCATTATTTACACAGGGGGGTTGACAGAGGGGTTCTATGGTAATAAAAAAAGTGAATTTTAACTTTGTTATATAACGTTGTGAAATATAGAAGCATTCGACATGATAATAATAAACATAGAAGTACTTTACTGAAATTACCATAAATCAGAAGTTGTTAAAAAATAAAACTAAAATAAACTACCAAAAATATGAAATAGACTACCATATTTGAAATTACAATGGTTTATCCATGGTTTCTTCAGGTAATATACAGTATAAAGTAAAATGTACAAACATTTTCATTACACAAAGATACTCCTTATCTGTTGGTAGGATATGGGTGTGTAGAGAAGTAGTCCAATAAGGGAAGACCCATCCCTGTTAAAACAACTCTACAACAAAGGTGAAACTATCACAGTCAAAAGCAGCTACCTGAAGAGGAAAAAATAATTATCTAAGTAAATGCTGCTACACATGGGGAAAAAACTTCAAACGACAATGCTTACCTGCAGCCTCAGTAATGTTAACGTAATACTGATCTGTATGAGGACCACCGACACACACATAGTTGCCTGATTGTTCTTTACTGGCTGATTTCAAAACCAACAGAGAACTTGTTGCTGAGAGTTCATCAATCTGAACAAACTCTGTAGGAAGAGAAAATAAAAATTGTTAATAATTTTAAAGATTACATTAATTATTATAATACACGCTCCATTCTCCATTCACAACACTACAATCTCAGTTTATCTGTCCATAGAATGTGCCATGTTTGTAGTGGTAAACTTCTTTTTTTAATTTTTAAACTATGGAATTCATTTCCACCAAACTTTGAAACTTTGATACTGTACATTCATGACACTGCATTACACCACAAACTTCCTTTAGGTTTCATGACACAGTTTATCAGTGCATAGAATGTTCCATAGTGAATGTTTTTTTGTGCTGTATAATCAAGACTCCCCTGAAATGTTATACCTGTATGCAAGTGCCCGTCATTCACTATACAAATAGTTTCCTTAAAAAATATCTGTTAGTCTTACCACTTGTCTGAACTGGGTTTCCATTACCATCTTGCCACACAGGGTTCCTATGACGACCTTGGAATGGGAGGTCACACTGTAGAACCACATCACGTCCTTCATGTAATGGCGTCTCGAATAGTGGCTTGATACGCACAAGATATTCAACTGAATATGAAACGGTAGTTTAAAATCATTCTACATACTTGACTACAATGGCTAAGAAAAATTGTCAATTCTAACAATGCTAACATTGAAAAGGGGACATTATGTCTCAAGTTTAGTACACTAATGTAACGATTTGTCTTTTTTTTTTTTAAAGAATTTAATTCAGAATATAAACCTTTCTTGTTAGATATTTTTTGAATATTATAGTGTCTAACTTGAATTTATATACATACGTCGTGTTTCACATGATGTTCCAACAAACATATCTGGGCAAACACACAATCCATCTACACATGGAGCTTCATTCTGACAGGCTGGCTCACATGGAATTTCTAAGAAAATATACAAAAAGAAAACAGTGAACATTGCTATTAAGTACAATACAATACACTCAAAAAGGATCTTATTACAGAAGATTCTCATCTCCATCACTTTATTTATATATATTTGTTAACAGCTATTTTTTATGATAGGATAGCTAAGGTAAAGGCCCTCATATTTTTAGGGAAACACAATAAAAAAAAAATAAAGCGAGTTTTCTTAAACTTGAAATTGAAAACCAACAATAGTATAATTACAGTTGAACATTTATATGTATAATCTACAAAAGTGGAGTCTTTCATGTTCATTCACTTAACATGAGGATGATAGAGCAATTAGAATGGGTATGGGGTTGGGCATTTGATATGTAAGGAGAGAAGCTTCCACTACTTTTAACACATGTTTTAAAAAGAAAACGTTTTTTAACAAAAGTTTTCAAGCAATGGATTGTGAAATCTGCATTGTCTCACCGTGGACTTCGATGTTGAATGAGTCCGCATTGTCGCCTGACACACAGGTGTAAACACCAGCATCTTGATCCTTGAGAGACCTAAACATCAGCATGTTCACATACGGTGACAGAACATCAACATCAATACCTTCAATGTCTAGATAACAAAACAAAATAATCATCTTAATTAATGTGGTCAACACTTAATTTAAATAATCTAAATGAACACTAGTTATAAGAATACAATGAAATCCTGTAAAAAGGATGTTAGATTTTTTTTTCTCTTGAAACACAAATTTCTGAGAATCTATCCAAAACTAGCTACATAAATCAATAACCATTTATTTTCGGTAGGTTTTAAGGAAGGCAACAAATGAATGAGAAAGACTGGTGTTAAGGCAGTGTCGTGGTTCTATTTTTTTTTTATAGAGGTGTTCATTTTACAAGAACAATGATAATAGTTAGTTCATGATGTTAATTATTTGTGAAATAGACTTAAATAAATGAGTATTTTCATAGAATTACCATATTCCAGTAATTTTTTAATTTAACACCTGGCCGTTCCGTGGCAAAAACAATGCAATGTAACTTGAAAGTTTCACTTTTCGAGAATAACAGGGTTAAAGTTTGCATGTTTGCAACTGGCAATAAATTGTTGTACCCTTTAGACATTATGATTATATGTAAAATTTTAATTACAACCGATGGTTTATTGAAAAGTTATCAATGATATATTCACAGATATGTTGTTTCACCTCGGAAACTTGTCAGGCACAGTATTGCCACAAGTGCGAAATATTTTTAAAATTGTTCATGTCTGGAGCAATCATAATGCATTATCTAGCTTGTGCATACGTCGTCGCTAAGATTATTGATGTGAAAACACCATCAACTAGTTGATTTTGCTTTGCCAAACTCCATCAGCTCAAAACAATTTTTGATTACCATTCCGAGGCAAAACAACATATATTCATCATAAATACGTTGTTTTGCCCAGTAATCTTGCAGTTACATTGTTTTACCACATAAAATCAGTAGATTTTAAGTTTTGTGCTTAAAGATAAATGGTGCTATCTTTGAAATGAATCATTGTTGAAACCTGAAATGCTCACAGGTCAGAAGTGTTTAATATACTCTCAAATGATATAATCTCAAAATCGAAAATAATGTCAGTTACGTTGTTTTGCCTTGAGACAGCCAAACTGTGAAGTGACTAAACAGTTATAGAAGTGGGTACTGAAAACACCTACTTGAACTCTCAGTCAATATGTTTCCTTGTGGATCCATCCAAACCGGGTTTTGTTGTCCTCCTTCCTGTGGCAACTCACATCTAAGGCCAACCACTGTACCTTTGTACGATGGAGGCTCAAAGAGAGGCACAATTCGAATCAAGAATGGTACTGTGAAGGAAAAATTACAGTAATATGTTGTGAGTTGTTGTTATACTTTGTTACTACCATCGACACATATTTTTAATGTGTGATGTTATCTTTTTGATAATATATTATGCTTGAAACTTTGGTGTGCACTATTTTAAGCATTTTTAGTTATTTAGTACAAATTTTCCTTAGATTCATATTTAAGTTTATTTTAAAGGTATACTTACATTCAGTCTCACATGAATCTCCCACAAACTGTGGGGGACATTGGCAAACTCCATCAACACACTGACCAGAATTCAAACAAAGAGGTTCACATGGAATTTCTAAGGAAAAAATTATAAATGATAAGAAATAGTTAGAAATGAAAATCGTTATATGAAAAAGATTTTGACATATTTTATTCATATTTTAATATATATGAGAGAAAACAATGTAATTTTCTTCTACTACAGATCCTCATAAGTTGTGTTTTGTTGTTGTTCTTAGTTTACATAAGTTAACATTTACTTTGTAATTTATGACATTATTGAATCAATTGTTGAAAATGATATTACTATTTTCTATCTTCTAATTATCAATTGAACAGTTTGTACTAAGTTTCTTTGAGTAGACTGAAATAGAATGGCAAGGGCCAATAGCAAGTGTAAGTCTAAGAGATTCTAAACAATGTTGTATTCTTTAAAGGTAACATTGTAATTGGGATTTACATTATTAATGACAATGGAAAGGTCTACCATAGGCAAACCTTTATGATCATCAAGACATCGGTTGTGAAAATAACAAAATTAACAGCTCTGATTGACTAATTGATTGATGGATCGATGAAAAAATTGAATAAGTTTTATCTCTAGATTTTATCTCTGAGTCTTACCTGAAACTCTAAGATCAAACTTCTCTTCATATTGTCCAGCTTTGCAGGTATAATTGCCAGAATCTTCCATCATCAGCGGAGAGATTGTCAGTAATGTGGAGAACCTGTTCAATGCCTCTGTTGTGATCCTCTGGAATGTGGCTCCTCCGGAAAGTCCAGAGCCTTCAAGAATATCATAAAGTAATATCATATCATATTGGAGAAAATATTTAATTTGATATTTTCTATTATGTTTTTCTATTATTAATGTACAGGTGCCTCATAAACTGCACAGGAACCTTTATGGTAAACATTTATCTTACAATTCATAACTATATGAAATTAAGTACATCACTCATACAGTAGACCAAAGCAGTGTTGGCTGTAGGATATACAAGTGGGGGTTAATCAAAGCTGCCTGATAGGGTTCTGACAACTTTGAAGAAGCCAGAAGCTGGATCCAGGGATGAAGTCCTGCTGCCTAATGGAACAATTCTTTTGGTAGACGAGTTTGTGTTGTGGTCAACAGAGGGGCTTGGCTTGTCCTAATAGAAACTTAAGCCCCCTCCACCTGTTAGTGCTGCCACTGACCAGCAGTACAAAATTTAATGAGGAAGATTCATCCAGGAATATTGGTTCTTTGGGACCCTTGAAGCTCTAGGTTTAACAAAGTTGTTTTATAAGGCTTTGGGCCTAAGTTATAGCAGGACATAAGTACTGAAAGTTTAGCATCTTAACCACCAACCGCACCCTCACTCCAATTGAATGTTGACCAATCAGCTCTGAATATCAAAGGCTTTGGTCAATATACATACCTTCTTCTTGAGTCTCTATGGGATCACCTTTAGCATCATACCACTCGGGGTCAAAGTTCCTTCCAGCATCAGGTACATTGCACTGTAAAACCACCTCAGTACCGATATGCAGTGGCGTATCATACAACTTCTCAATCTGGATCAGGTAAGGCACTGTGTGAAAAGATTATCATTTAAAATTAATTTCATCATAAATAAATTGATGGTTGGTGTTCCTAATAGTTACGGTGCTGATTTGTCTGTTTACATAAATAAATTATACATTGTGCAATTTTTTTTTGTGTATTGTTGTTTTTGTGTTTGGGATTAACCAATAATTCAATTCAATTTAATTCAATATATAGATGTATATAAATATATGAAGCTACCATATGTATATGAGGCTTACATGGTATTTCACAAGCAAGTCCAACATATCTCTCTGGACAGTGACACACTTGATCTTTACAAACTCCTTCATTCATACATAGTGGTTCACATGGAGGTTCTGAAAATATAATATACAAGTATAATAAATATTAATACATATTTGGATTACTGGAAGATCAAAATAAATTAATAAATTAAGAATAATGTATGCTAACAATATTAATAATAATATACATGCAACATTAATAATAATATACATGTTTGCTAGAGAACATCATGTCAATAACGAAGAGTTAGGATAATAAATATGTTTAAGTTATAAAATTCCAATCACAGATTCTACGATTTACTCTCTCCATTACGTAATGTATCATAAAACTTGAAGAAAATCGCCAAATGCCCTCTAGCCAAATGTAATACAAACAGAACAAAAAATTTATTATTAATACCGGATTGTTCAACGGATGGTAAGTACTCCCCGCCCAGTAGGATGGATATAGTATAATACTCTAAAGTTTGGGTTCCATACAATCGCTACACACTATAGCCAACAGCTTTCGGTGAAGCTGATTGGTCGGTTGAATCAGGGAGCTTTCCTGATTGTGTTGGGGACAGCTACGCAGTGTAATGATTCTTCTTGAGGATATTTCAGGTACGATTAAAATCGTCATCCACGTAAATATTTATGAAATAACAAGAAATGTCATAGTTAGATAAAATTGTATACTTTTCTAAAGTACATACCAACTACAATAAGTGGTGTTGTACTGTTCACACTGCCAGCATCATTTCTAGCATTACATGTGTATTCTGCCGTATGATGCATTTGTGCATCCACCAATGACAATGCACCGCTGTACCCCGAGTCAATGATAGTAAGTCCATCACCATCTGTAATTACTTGGCCATCTTTATACCAAGTGATTTCAACAGGGAGATCACCACGAATAACAGAGCAAGTCAAGCGTGTCTGCTGACCTTCTTTCAAGATTACTGGTCCTCCAAATGGTTCGATCACGGGAGGAACTGAAATGAAAACAAAAAACTGACTATCACTTGATGGTGACAATAGCTATATGTAGTTAATAGATGTGATGATAATGAAAACAATTTCACAAACTGTTTTAAGGATGATGACAGTGATAATAATTAGTTTATGTAGATAAAGTGTTCAGTAAAGTGTGGTCCATTTACATGTAGTTAAGTATTTCTTCTTTTTAATTTGCATTTTAATTTTTCTTTTATATTTCCTTCATGTTTATTTAAGGGAATGGTTACTCTGTTACATTTACAAATTGTGTTGTACCTGTATTTAGTTTGAACAGGGAGATTGTTCTCAATTTTTTCCTAATCATGTACTGTCTTTTTTGTGCTATTGAGATCGCATTAGTTTAAATGATACTGATTCAAATTTTTTTTTACTGTGGATGCAATATCGATAAAAAAAAAAGTGTTTTGAAATATATATTATTAATGATAAGTGTGCATAGAGACTCTCGTATTTTGCACAATATAAATGAATAACCTTTAACCTTTAATAAGCAGCTTACCTCTGGGGAGGACAGATACAGAGTCCTGGTGTGGACCAGCCTGGCAGACATAGGTTCCAGAATCATTCTCTTCCAAGTTCCGGATCAATAATACAGACTTGTATGCTGACAACTGACTAACTTTGATACGGTTACTTCCGCCTACGTAAAACAAATAAAGTGTATGTTTTGGTTAAATGCCTATAACCCTCCTCATACTCCGTCCCTGTTTATTGAGGCAAGAATTCATGAGATTGACCAAACCATCTATGTTCTTATAGATGTATAATTTCATTTACCAAAACAATAAATCAGTAAGCCATTCAAACCAGTATCAATTAATCTACAGTATTATAAACAACATATCAAAAAAGATAATCATACACTGACTTGTCTATTATTTATTTACATACTTAAAATCTTTATCACTGCCAATTGAAGGTTCATGTGTGAATTTCACTAACCACAGTAAGGTTTCGAGGGTGGAGCTTTATTTAATTGAGAAAAAAATAATACAGTATATCATGGGCTCAGAATATGAGTTCAAGGTTCTAGGATTGAACAGCAAGTATCTCAACCACAGAACTACAACTTCACTCTCTGGTTGTATTGGGAGAATAAAACAAAAATAAAATACAACTTTAAAGAAGTATACAACAAACGACTGATGTTGAGACTACCATCAAGATAATTATAATATAGTTATCATCCAGCATATCTTACCTTGGCTTGGTTTGATTTCTTGGCCATTTGGTGAAAACCATTTTGGAAGTGTTTGTGTTCCTTCTTCAGGTAACTCACATTCAAGGGTCATGTCCGTCTCAATTACCATGTTCTCTCCTTCAATTGTATTGATGCGAATAAGGTAATCAACTGCAGAAACAAAAAAAAAACAAGATAACAAGTGTTTATCAAAAAGCAGTAGTTATTTTTTCTATAAATAATGATAATCATCAACGTATACTAAACCACTATAGCTACCTTCACAAATATATACTCTGTATTATAATCATGGGTTGTCAGAGTAGAAATTATCCTTTCAGATTCTTTAAGCTATGCAAGACTGAAACATATAACTTATTATTATCCATGGCAAATGAATCCACAATTGGCGAATCAGCACAAAGTGCAAACTTTCTCTTCTGTCTAAGAAGTACAGCATACCTGTCGTGCTATAATACAAACACACAACCATTAACATTCAATGCCACAACCTCCTACCAAGGCACTTATTTACACTCTTAGATGAAGAGAGATAAGCATAGGCTAAGTGTTTTGCACAAGGAAAACAAGCGACTTGCACAGTGAGGATTACCATTGATGTTGAGAATACTTACGTTCGTTTTCACAAGCATCACCAACAAATTTGAGTGGGCATGTGCACTTGCCATCCTCACATTTACCGCCATTCACACATGTTGGATCACATGGATGATCTGAAACAAATTACAAGGAAACATATTGTATGATATCATGAAGAAAAATAAATAGCTTAAGATTATCATGTTTATAATACATAACAACAAATATTATTATTAAAAAATCCTAAACACTCTTACACAATTTTAAATGTTTGTCTTTATATACAGGCATTCCAAGTTGGAAGAAGCCACTCTCAAGAGATCTGGGAAAATGAACAAACACATCTAACTTTTTCTAAATTTGCTGTGCATGGTATTACTAATTACCAGCTGACTTCCGGGTAGCAACTGATAATAAAGTAGTAAAAGACCAATATAAAGAAGGTTGTATCAATTTCTAAAAGACCCTCACGAATCTCGTAAGACCAGGAACCTCTGCCTGTAAATTAATGTTTGATCAGATTTTAGTGGGAAGTAAAGCACTAACCAATTTCCAGCAGACATGGAAAAAAAAAATTTGTTGGATCAAAAACAAACTGGTGTCTAAATTTTTGGGTCTGACAGACAAAAATCTTGAAATCTATACACTTCTTAATTGGCAATACCATAAAATAAATCAAAAGATTATGACCAATGAAATATTTGATAAATGGAATATTTTACCGATGACCGTAAAGTTGAATTTCTTTGATAGAGGGCCTGCTTCACAGGTGTAGAATCCGGAATCTTCAAACTGCAATCGATCAATGTGAAGACGAGTTGTGTATTGTGTGAGAAACTCAGAGCTCATGTGGGTGGTAGTGTCACCTGAAAAAGTAAGAGAAAACAAAGAGGTAATATTTAAATACTTATGTAATAAAACTGCTTTTAAATTATAAGAATGCTTTGAAATAATTAAATAAAGATTAACAAAAAATCATAAAGATGACAAAACAAGACAATTTGACAAGACAAGACTCATGCAGTTACCTCTGTTGGAGTGCTTTTCAATAATTTGTCCAAACGGGTTCCTCCAGACTGGAGCTGCATCTGAAGATATGTTCATGGAGACCTCGCAGATGATGTCGATACTTTCTCCAATGTAAGGGTCAGGGCTGGACATAAGGATCTTGACTAGGCTATTGTCCACTAACAATACAGAAAAGAATTTACAAAATTCAATGACTTAAGGATATAATGTTTTTTGACAAAACTATTTGCTAAACAAGAAAACAAAATTTTTTTTATTTTTTTTCCTCCCGCCTTTGACAATTTTAAGTTTGCGAAACAAGAAATAAAAGAAGGCTCGCCTTATTTGTGTGTTGCTCATATGTGTGCATGATTATGTTCTATTGTAGGTATTAGTCACTTAAAGCTTGATAGTGTGAATGGAGCTTAAGAAGACATTTTTTATTGTGTTCAGACTGCTTTTTTTTTTTTTTTGGTAACGAGGAAATGTAAACTTACATTCTATCTGACAATAATCGCCTCTAGCCAATTCTGGACAGACACAAATTCCTTCATAGCATGTGCCTCCATTTTGACAGCCTGGGATGCAGGGTGTTTCTGAAACGGAGATAATACTGGCATTAGGTAAAGAAGATCACAACATCTTAAGGAGATAATGAAATAGAAGTGCATGTAGAAAAATGTAAGAACTACAGTGCTGCACAAAATGTATCTCCAACTATCTATTCATCCACCTATCTTTATTTGCATGTGTTTGTGTGTGTGTTTGTCTTTTAGTGTCAATCTGTTGTTATTGTTATTAATTGATATGAATTAAAATATTAAATGGTTGTGCTTTATTAGGCTTTAGAACAATTAGCCAACAGTAAGGGGGTAACAGCCATCTGGTCCATACAGTACTGATATCACTGGCTGCATTATCGTTAGAAGTGCTAGAATGCATATGGTGAAAGTGCATACAAGCCATTACAAGTACGTATGCACTCTACCCAGCGGGAATAAGGAACATCTGAGATTCATTTATTAATTATTTATTTATTGTCAGCAAATGAGCAATGTAATAAATGATAAACAACGTAAAAATACATTGAATATAACTTACCATCAACACTGACAACAAATGGATATTTGAGTGGTCCAGTCACACACCTGTATCCAACTGCATCCGTGTCAAGCAGGTCATGAATGACAAGTCGAGTGACCTGAGGGGAGACACTTACAGTATATATACGTGCCCCTTCTGCTGCTTCCTCAGTAGGAATTCTTTGGCCCTGGGAGTTGAGCCATATAGGCTGATTGTAAGGACTATCTTGAGATACTTTCTTATACACATCTAGATGT